CACATAAGGAGTATCAGCTCCTGAAAAATTGTTTGCGATAAGCTTGAGGTTATTTAAAGGAACAAAATGACGCGAAATGCATCTGACACTGCAGGTAATGAAATATCAATGAGCTGTAGCCTGCTTAAATGTCCCCTGCTGTCAAAGGTGCTAGGAGGAACTTCAATGCACCGTGAAATTTTGCCATGGAGGAGTTATGCGCCACGGTTTCTGTGAACAACATATAAATCCCTTTCATAATCGAAACACCTCTGATTATATCTGCTTATTAAGATTATATCTGTTTCTGTCAGCTTTTTAACACTATTGCAATTGTAATGATTTTTCAGATTTCACGTCAAAAACGCATTATATAAATGTGCCGGCAACCTTTTTCTCCATTGTGGTGCTGCAGTCACAGCTGAAACTGTTACTGAAACTTCCTTTTGCTAGCGATTAGACAAAATGAAATCAGAATTTTGGGCGCATAGCCACCAGAAATAAGACTCGGCATTTCTGTATTTTTGGAGAATTAATTTTGCTGACGATGTTATCGATTAATGAGCATTAATGAACTTGCATCTGCATCTTGGAAATTTGCTACCATCGAATGAATTCAATTATCCTATTATCAAAACGAAGGCGAAGGACATTTGCACCATATAATTGCGTCTTACAATACTGTTGCAGCGTGTAATATTATCAATTCACATCTTGGCGAACAAAATTTTAATGATCAGTAGTCACATAAGCAATTTTCAAAAAATAATCACTGCTTGACATGTACAGTTGTAGCATAAAAAATGTAACGATATTTATTACCCAAACGTTGCATCATTCAGCAGAGATGCAGAGCGGCTGCTGGTATGATCATCATTGACACGCTGCGAAATCCTCTTTTCAAACTGGCTTCAGCCGTAAACCAAGTGATCCCGTTAGTGCCGTATCCCGTGAGATGATTACTGCACGATGAATTGTACATGCCGTTCAAATTTGCCACTGCGCCGTTGTTAAACCAGAAACCGCTGAAACAAAACTATGTGAAAGTACGATACGATCAGGGCTTTACAAAACTCTGGGTATATGCTGTAAACATCCAATGCCTCTAAACTCTTGTGGAATGGAAACGAATGCTCCCTCCTCCTCAAGCCACCCATGCCTCATCTTCCACAACATGAGTGTGTGAGGTAGCCGTGTTTGATTGCCTCTGCATTTTTGAAGCCGTTGTCTAACGCTCTCCTCAATAGGCAGTAAGGCGGATGTTGATTCTGCATACGCAATGGAATTCGATGGTGCATTTGTCCTCATCAAACCGATGAATAACTACTCGACATGCGAAATTCAAACACATTTGCACTCAGTTACCCTAAGTCAGCTCAGCTGTTGGACAATCAGTGCAAGAAATGACAAGTGGTTTTCTAATAGCTTCAGGACGTTAAGGGAATGAGGAAAATTCGTGTACCCTATGCGTTCATGAAAAGTTCAAAGCTCGTGTCCTTTTTCAATGGAGCACTGACCTCCTTGTCCATTTAATCACCCAGGAGTGATTTATTTTAAAGGTAGAGTCGACACTAGGCATGTGATAAGCACAACGTGTACTTCTCCTGTTTCCTTTTCGCAGAATGGTGTTCATTCGCAATCTCTAAAGGAAAAAAGACAAGTGACCCAACTGGAATTCGAATCCGGAAACTCTAAGTTGCGAGTTCGACACTTTACCGACTAATCACTCCCGGCCTCAGGCAACTTGTGCAGATTTCTTGCTCAAGGGAATTTGTAGTTAAGATAAAGAATGTCGTCCGCCAGAGTCGAACCCGGCACCACCCGAGTTGGAAACCGACCTATTACACACTGTGCCACCATGCCATGACGTCGATTCTGTTTGGAATAATAGTAATTCAAAAATGCTGGTATTAATATTTCATTGAAAATATATTGGTCAAGGCGACAGACGAGCAAGGTGGTGCAAGAGGAAAGAGCGGCTACCTTCACTCACCCAGATTTTGGGGAAAAGCTCAGTAGTGGCTCCAGAAAATTTCAGTGAGACACAGAGTCGATTTTAACGACCCAACAATATTAACAACGCTTGACGACTTCAATGAACGCTTGCTGCCGAAGCAACCATAATTCAAACAGCAATCAGTGCCATGAATCGAAATGAGGGCATTAATATTGTTCGGGCATGGCGAAACTTCTGTACAGTTCCGATAAGGAGAAAACAAAATCTTCGATAACATACTGACAATCTTATATGACCGTAAGGTTGCATTCTGGCGTCGATAGTAAGAATCGATAATATCAGTCGCAACCTTGATCTTGAGCCAACCGTTTCACGAGGTATATTATTAATTAAACTTCAATACTTAACAATGATTCAGCCCATGGTATTAAATGCATATATTCATAAAACCATGTAATTAAAAGCTTAAACGGTGAATGAACAGTTATAGAGACAAAATCTCTATTACTGAATGCCTAAATATGACTGATATTTGAAACAAGCCTATAATGCCAACTTTTCAAAACCTTCAGTTGTCTAGGGAAGAACATATGCAGCTGTGTTAAGATTTTTTTGATCACGACCTTAAATACAATTTTCTCTTTCTTGTTACCAAATGGTCGGAAAATGAAACTTTGATTGCCCATCATTATCATATGCGCTTACTAATCACATTAATTTCACTGAATTAGTTTAAATAGCTAAAATTTAAAGAACTTAAATAATTTTTTATACACATGCTGCAAAGTACAACTTATCATTAAATTTAATTTCTTCGTGTGAATCTCATGAACTTCCCTGAAACCCTCATATGAGTCACCAGTCGCGGTTTGGTACAACCGTTATTGAGCATACCAAACTGTAGGCACTTCATATTTCATACTCATGCTGGAGAGTAACTGAAGTTGTTACTATATAAATGGTGTCCGGGTTTCGTTTACAAGAGGGAAACTATAGCCACTTGGGTACCGTGTGATCTCATCAGCTAGATTCTACCTTTTCCATCAGAGTGAAGAGGTGTTTCAATTTCTGACTGAGTTCTTCCACTGTCGGTATTGTTCCCGTGCAATCATACTGTAACGGTTTTGCGCTCTCTGCTTCCTCCGTTCATAACAGGTAGCACCTCCCCTGTATACTGGCATTTCGACAGCTTTTCGTAGTTTTTTGACACTCGTCACAAAGCCACGATGTTCCAAGCTGAAACAGGTTCTGATTGCTGACTTTTCGCAAACTATATGGCACTCCTCGTTGATGACATGTAACCGATGACCAGCACTCCACCATCAATTGCATGAAAAGAAGGTCCATAAACGACCTCATTATGAAAGTGGGAAAATCGTCCTTGGAGCGGTAACTAATTTTCATTTCCTTTCCTTTTCTCGTTCATTGCTTCAATCCTGCAACAGCCGACATGGAGTTTGGTGATACAGCGACGACCTAGCCAGCATAATGTGGCATAGTCTCCATGCCATAAAGGGAGGTGGCTAATTTCTACTGCAACCTTCCAAAGAAGCCAAATCCTCCTTTTTTGTTCGACCCTTAGGCCCCGCAATGGCGGAGATAAATATAGAGCTTTCCAAAAGCCACAAACATGCATAGCAAGCACCAAGTGCTCTGCTGAAGGTTATGGTCTTGGCTTCTAGAAGATGATCACCGCCGTTCCATAGGCCAGAAAGTGGCACTCGGCTGAGAGATGGCAGAGCTGTGGTGCGACACGTACCACAGTAATATTTATTTCCCGTTTACGGACTGAATGAATTGGCCATGACATGAATGCCGACGGAAAGACCTGAGTTAACCATGGAGGTCACATGACTCGACAGTGCCCGTCACTGCCGGCTTATGGAGGGCATGCAATAACAGTAGAATAAACGAACTCGTGCTAATTGAGGTTGCACGGCGAGCAGTTTTGGCGAAGATGGCTATCAAGCACAACCACGGTGCGTCGTGATCTGTACATGACCATATGACCAACCGTCCAGCCGCTGATGGATAGGACATATTTGACAGTAGATCCAACTGCAGGCAGCTACGCAGACGGAAATGCGATTTTGCATGACGTCTAAGAAACATTAGCGCATAGCATTGCATATTTGGGTTATGACGGATGTGGGTAATATCATGCGAAGAGCACAGATCTTCCAAGGCCATAAAAATGTCTGATATAACATAACCTGCTTGCCGCAGCTGGTTTCACTCAACCTAACGGTAATTATCTTGTGGTAATCAAATCTTTAAAGTACTACCTGGAGGTCAAAGCGGCCCAGTTCCTGTTGGCGCTTCGGTCATTGTCCTTGTCAGGGGTGGAAAATGGAATGCCGTTGAGTTTTGACTGCTGTGCAATCCTGTAGTTCAAGGAATCCATGGCGTTGCCGTGGCTGACGTTCGAGACACGAAGCGCGTAATTTGTGGACAGGTTTCCAACCTGAAGTCCCAATTGAGGAAAAAATTAGAATCGGTTTCGCTCGACGCTTTTACATACCTGAAGTCGGCAATACAGTTGATAGAATTTCTTTCCTTCGCAGTTGTGAAGATCAACTCGAAGCGCCATCGGCTCCTGTGATGTCAACGCATTCATGGCGTCCAAACCAAGCCAATATTCAGACATGTTCTTAGTGCCGAAAAACGACTGGTATTCCGTCCAGTTTCTTTCGAACGACAGTTCTCCAGTAGATCGTCTAAAACGAGAATCTTGGAGGAATTGTAGGCAAAGAATATTCATTTTAGACGTACGTTTAAGTAATTGACGATTAATGAACAAATTAAGAACGGTCCTGCATACTCACCTCTGAATGATCGTCCAGCCACCAGAAATTTCTTCCATGTTGCACATTACTAGAACTTCACGAGATTTGATTAAAATGAAATAAGCTCCACTTTGGCTTTCTGGGTTCTGTTGCAGGATATCATGACAACTTCGTGGTTTGGAAGATAGTGGCGTAGTCTGTTTTGTAGTTGGAACAGTTTCGATACTAGCAGTTGTGGCTGTTGGCGTTGATTGGGTGCTTTTCAGCACCGTGGCTATATTCTGGGAAACACCTGTTGGAATTGGTCTCTTGGTCGTAACTGCCTGCGTTCCGGTGCTGCTGCTAATTATGTTTTCTGAGGTGCCAGCCGTTGAACTGGTAGCTTGCAGTTTCACCGTATTGGGCCATGAAGTCGATGACATTCCCAGATGATCTGTCGTCGTTGGTAGTGAACTTGCAATAAACGTTTCAACTGCTGAAGATGCCTCTGTAATCTCTGAGCTGGTCGTCGCTTCTGGTTGAATTTCTTCGGTTTGTTCATCTATAAAAAATGTGTGGATGTTAGAGAAACATGCTTTCTCCGCTGAATCACAGTTTTAAATGCTGCTTCAACGATGTTCAGGCCACCCCTAGGGGCTGATCTGTTAATTAACCAAATGTTAAAATCTGGTATCATTTATCAGCGAATTGGAAAGCTGTCATTCGTGCTACATCAAAGATGTATTTTATATCATCTTGTCAAATAATAAATGACTCCTCCAAAAAAGAGCGTCACGGTCTATTACACTGCCTCTGCTTCTAGTTGACTAGCAGCCATGGGCTCCATGCTATTTGGGCATTGGTTATTTGGCACGCTCCGGCGTACGAACAACTTATTAAGCTATTTTGTATGTTTATTTGCCTGCAGATAGCAGCAAATTTTTTTGGTGCTCGAACATGTCCTTGTTCAACGTAATTCAGAAATGTAGTGATGTATCCAATGCATAGAAGGCACCGAAATATCATCGAATCTTGCCATGTTCAACTGGTCCTCTCCAAGGGAGAGGTGAGGTTTAATCGTGTAAATCTGCTATCGTTGATCGAAATGAAACGTTAATTATTACACGAAATGCAGTGTACTATCTAATGCTAGGCATTTACATGCATTGCATTGTTTTATCAGGCTACTTCCTGATATCTTAGATTTCTTTAATTTACGTAAGGCAGAGTACTTATAGTTTCATGGCAACTTCTATGCATATTTCAGCGAAGCAAGCAATTATGAAAATATGTCGAGAATGCAAAATCTGCGTACCCGCATAGAACCTCTGGTCACTCTTTTCCAGCACTGTCACTCAATAGGTGCGTGCGCTGGAAGAGCAAGGAATATAAGTTGTATATTCAGGCTGCAACGCGAACATTCAGCTGTTTGAAGATGTCCTTGAAATGAAGGTTTCTAAGAAGTTGCTTCTACTTAATGGTTTCTCAAGGAGATCTCGTATCGCCCAAACTGTTTGCCGCGTGCCTCGAGTCAGAGGATTTTCAATCAATGATATCTCACCCACGTTCGATTTTCTGACCTCATTGGTAGAGAGGGCAAAAGAGGCAGAAGTCGTGTGTCACCGAGTATTTCGGCTGTGAACAGCCAATCGCGTCGGATCACTCTTTTTGTTCAAAGATCGCTCGAAGGCGTCATGCGGAACGGAGCACCTACGGAAGAAGAGCTTACGGTTTCGAAAACGGAAAATCACGAACTGTGAGTTGGAACCGCATGCTGCGAAAGCATGGTATTGCAAACAGCTTCATTTGACTGCGAAACCTGCCGTTAACGGAAACGCATGAAGAACTGGTAACGGTTCAGCAGCGGGCCATGGAAGGAACGAAGCCATGAATTGCCATAAGAGACAATCCGTCGAATGACCAAATAGGAAGACTGAAGACTCACGAGAATGCAAACCGTTGCATCGGTTTCGTGAGAAAATAAATTGGAGAAGGTCGCATCGCACCACTGGCGGATAACCGATGGACCCTGGCGGTGACGAATTGGCACCCAAGAGGTTGCAAGCGTCCAATTGCAAGATCTCAGCTCAGACGGGGTCAAAACGGCAGTGCTGACAATTGGTACCAAAGAGACGATAGCAGGCAACGTTGATGCTACCTTATCATGAAACCCAAGGGTCAATTAATTGGCACTGTGAAGTAGTACTTACTTAATACTGTCAAAATGTCTACTGCTTACCTTTCTCGTAATGGATTTCGTATGACAACGACATCCTTGAAAGGAAAATGTTTGAATAAACGACAAAAGTCTTCAAATCTTTTACCTTGTACTCGCTGCGTCTTCGCTTCTGTTGTTAATGACGGTAAGACGCTGAGTTGCTATGGCGTCCTTCCTTAGTTTTATTACAATTTCATCGATAATATCGAAACTTGCAAATAACCAATGACGTTCGAACACGTATACTGTAAGTGTAGCGTCCTATAAAAGTTCTGTTGATTTACCCGGGTTTCACAAGTTCACGAATTACCTGTGGTGGTCCGTTGTATTTGAATTTTTGTGGATTGAACCACTCGCAGTAGCGGGCTCTGGTGGAGAAGCTGACGACATTTTCACCCGACGTCAGTTGACATAAGTACTGAACAACGTTCTGGCCGTCTGATCTAAAAATGCATATCACTGGCATAGTTTGCAATCCAAATTATAAATATCATGTTTACAACAAAAAGCGTGTGATCATGCGTATGTTGCAGCGAGGTGCCCCCGCATCTAAACGTGCCGTGCAATCGTCGCCGTTTCGAAGCCTCCCGTCAGGAACCTCGAACGAGTCTAACATTACTGTAACGGTAGTCGATCCATTGGTCTTCGTCGAGCGCGATTTCTCATCTAAGAATCCGGTTCAATTCATTGAATTCGTTAGGCCGGTTAATTAGAAACAAACGAAACGCAGACCCTTACCTCTCCTGGTTCTCGTCGGTCGGAAACTTTCTTCCGCTTTCTACAAAGATATGATAAATCTAAGAGGTTTTAAACCTGTAAATACGTATGCCGATTTTTAGTGCTTAAAACATATTAAACGTATTTTACAAAATAAACAGAAGTGCTCATAACTCATAATTTATAAACACTGTTAGGTGGCTTTGGTAGTAGTTGATTACTCGCAGCTGACGTCGAGTCGACAGCCACCCCTACAATTGAAGTCCAAACGATGAGTGTCATTGCATTCAGGTGCCAGAAGCAAGGTTAATGCCACGTCTGCGTGCGATTTGTCTTGTCTAAGACGCTAAGGAATCCGGAAGTATGAGAGGCATGATTGTCGAAACTACTGATGCATAGCGATAATCAACGTGATTGAAAAAAAACTGTGTATTCGCGATTCACCAACAAACGTTTTCACCAATACCGGTAGGAATAAGAATCACGTGTTACTCCGCTGGAACAATGCAGCGAATCACAGCACGCTTATCTTGCGTTAGCGTAGTGTTGCAAAGGAATATCATCTGCGCCATTTTGGACTGCACACACGAGAGTACATCAGCAGTAATATAGTTAATATTCCCCATTTCTCTGAAAATAAGAAAACATTTGTTCCCGCCATTTTGGTTCATCCCCATATATGATGCCGTACTGTAATCGTTGACCTCTTCTACGCAGTAGACACCGAGATGAGATATTTGAATACGAAATTTGATAGATTACCACACACAAGTATTAAACTCTCATATCACAGAATGGAAGCTTATTAATTTTGGATGTTCATTTGATTTTATTGATGCTCCACAATAGCGTGCCTTTCAAAATGATGTTTTAGTTTCTACTTTCTATAAACCCTGCTTGAAGGATTGGTTGCTTACTGTATAGTAGATACATCGAGGTCATTTATGAATAGTCAGTTACGATAGTGCAAGGTCATAAATGACGCCATATTGAAACTATAGGCCTAGAAAAATTTCAGGACATCTCCAGGCAGACTCTCTTAGGCTAGAAAATTTGAAAGTCGTCTCCCATTACCTCGTCTCGTAAAAGCTTTACTGCTGCCTGACTGACTGATTGTCTCACTGACTGGCTGACTGACTGACTGACTGACTGACTGACTGACTGACTGACTGACTGACTGACTG